GGGAACGCTTCTTTCCATTTGAACAGAAAAAAGCGTTGGTTTGGCCACAATTCTAATTTTGTAGTTATTTACGCTTTACGGATTGGCTACTCGTGGAGTCAAACTGACGTTTACCATAATTCGCTTTGAAAACAAAAACATTTTAAAAAGAATATTTAATAAAAACAGGAAAGGCGACCGGATTCAAAGCAAGGATAAGAAGTCAGTTCTGAGATAGTATATACCGAAAAAAGTCTTGGTTTTGTCTGGAAGCCCTGGTTTGATTCACTGCATTGAGTTTTACTGCTATGACGTAGCTGAACCGGAAGGTTATAAAAATTATGCTAGCTGATATGTTTTCATGTTTTTATACCTTTATACTCGAGCTTTATGCTAGTCGAGCGCTCACCCTCTGAACCCTCTGGTCTAGTTCCAACAAAAGTGAACAGAAGGAGCTCAATTTACCGAGTTTCTCAATTTACAGATCTGATACATTGGGAACCTAAGTTTCAATTCTGTCCAGCAGAGTTGATCGCACACAAGAAGAGTACACTTTTTGGCGTATTAAAAATGAGAAGTGCCGCGAAGTTAGTTCAGGGAAAAGTTTTGCCCCACCTGCACTGTGCATAACATCCAGGTAGCAGAAAGTTGGGTCATTATCGAGCGTAGTGCTTTCTACAGCAGTCGTGTTCGAAAGGCGACCGTCGATAGGCCGCGACAATCCAGTGATTCTGGGGCAAACATATTATGGGTTGGCTACCAGCCGGCCAGATATCGCGCAGCTTTTCTTGTGATCCCACAACTTGCACTGAGAGCAAGCATTGGAGTTACTTCCAACACCTTTAGTACAGACAGCACAAGGGTACTACCCAGAGCGCTCGAGGAGATCAAGGCCGATGCCTGAGATCAAGAACTTTGTGCTTTTCATGTAGACTCTCAGACCTTCACTCTCCATGCAAATTTTATAGATCCTGAGGCTAGCGATGCATTCATCAAGCGTATCTTCCATAAGAACAAAGTCATCCGCATAGAGGAGTTCCCAAGTCACGCCTTTACGTTGATTTAATCGGTGAGAGGCTTCTGGGACGAGGATGAACAGAAATGGACTGAGAACAGAGCCCTGTGTACACCGACTTTCACTTCGAATTTTTCGCTAAACTGACCGTTTACTCGAGCACGACTCTGGGCATTATAAAACATACCCTGGACGAATGCACTGCCCCACAGAGGAGTGCTAGGAGCAATGTTTTTTTATTTGTAGCTGTCGAACAGTGAATATGGCGTCAGTGGTACCACTGCCAGGTACAAAGCCATACTGCATCTGGTCTTTACGCACCATCTTACGAACGATTGCATCGAGCACGCGATCCGCCAGCTTCACGACATGATCAGTCAACTTCAGTCCTCGATATTTGCCACGACTTAGGGCATCTTCTTTGCCTTTCTGGAGGGTCAGAATGAAGCTTGCCTCCCAGTCTCCGGAAAGGACACCATTTTGGAAAACAGTTTCAGTTAGTTGCTTCATTATTTCGACGCCGAGATCTCCGGCAGCTTGCAACATCACAGCAACAATGCCAGAAGGCCCAGCGACTTTGCCACAGTTCACCTTGCTGAGAGCCCTGTATAAGATTTTTCTGGAAACTTCAGGCTCTCGCCCGAACTCTAGTTCGAACCGGATTAGCTCCATCTGCTTAGCCATCCAAAACATGTGATGTCTGCTGCTGAGGAGGAAAAATTCATCACAGTGGCATTTGGAGACTGTGGCGAATTCTTCCTTCTCAGCAGCAAATTTAGCAAGGTAGACAGTGTGTTTTGACTTGCGCTTTGCTTCCAGAAAAGACTCGAGCATTTAGCGCTTCAGATGTCTTGCCTATCTTTGTCAAGGCATTGTAAATCTTGCAACGTGCGCGCTTCTTATGCATAACGTGGTCAATTTGTTCATTTCACCCCCAAGTTTCAGGTCTCCACTTGTAACTATTTGATTGGCCACACAAATCTGCGGCAGCCTTCAGATTCGGAAGCTTCAGGCGAGATCAGACAGACTCAACATGACAGGTTGTATAATTAGTAGCCTAAGCAGTTGACATCCCTTGTTTCTGAAGGACCTCTTGGAATTGGTTGGCTATGGCAGCGTATCTACTCTTCTATGCGCGTATGCAAGGTATATACTTGCACTTCTTCGTACGAGCTACGTAAACGGCGAGATCGCACATGACAGGGTGATGTTGTTGGACGCATTCCTCGTTACGAATAACTTTAACATCACAAACGGATGTTAAACGACTTTCCACCTGTACACTTTGCCACCGCAAATGTCAACTATCCTCCTCGATGAAGTCTCCAGCTTTGCAGCTCCCCTGGTTTTCAGGGTACCCATATTCCAAGTGGCAACTCGGAAATTAGTCAAGATCGGGCGCTTGCATGATTTGCGGTACGAGCCAGACCCTACTTCCAACACCCATGAGAAAGTCAAACCCAAGACGTCATCTGCATTCCGCCTGAATGGGGTTCTGTTGAAGATTTTGCCATGAGATTGAAGCGAATTTTTGAATGGAGTGGTTGTTCTGCCTGACCTCCAACCTTAGCTTTAGGTGCTTGGGAAACCTGGATTTTCTGTTAGGGTGCCGACTCTAGCCGGTGCCAATATGTATATTATATGGCCGCCAGAGAGCGAAGGATTGAAATTGGAGTTTTCCTGCTCCCAGATGGGATACTCTCCCGGGTTTGAGGGGCCCATCTGCCCCAGGGGTAAAGACCCGACAGCCCTACAAATTTTACCTATTAATAAGGCAGTTAACCGAAAAAAAATATTTTTTTAAACCAAAAAATACTGAAAAAGTTTCAAGCTTGAATGGTTTTTTTAAATGAAATAGCTTAATTTAAAAAAATGGAATAGAATCTAATGACAAAAAATATCAAGAACAAAAATCGACAAGATCAACGAAAAAAGAACAAAAATTGTGCAGAAACTAACGAGCTATTTTATATTGACCAAAAAGATTACTATGAAACTAAAACAGCTGATCGTACAACCAAAAACAAAAAAAGTCTGAACAAACTTTGCTTCTTCACCTGAGAATAAAAAACCAAAAAAAGTTTAAAAAAATTTGAAAACTTTTCAAAAAAAAATTTGACTCTTTTTTGCTTAATTTTTTTTCACTTTAATTTAAAAAAGTCTGAGTTTGATTAAAAATTTCCACAATTTCAGTTACAGAATTCCTTCTTTCCCATATATTACTTTTTAAAAAATTTAAAAAAAAAACATAGGAAAAAAGCCGCCAGAATTGAAGGCGACCTATCTCAGTGCCGAAAATAGAACAAAAAAATCGGAACCCTACAAAAACTCACTTGCAACCCTTAACGTAACACAACTAAACGCCGCGTCGTATCTGCATGGAGCTATTGCAGTTACCACATTTTTAAGCAACCATGCACTTTTTACCATTTTTGACCATTTTGTGCCTAAAAATATTTACAGGAAAAAAGTCTTCTTCCCGATTGCAATACCATTGATTATTGCAAGGGTAATCAGCGCAGGAATGCTTAGATGGCAAAACTTTCAAGATATCTAAACAAACTTATGGAATGCGGCGAGCAAATCTCCTCGAGGGACAGCTCTTTATACGACTTTGCGAGATTTTTCTTGGGTTCCAGTTTTTGGTAAAATTTGCGATCAAAACCCATCTTTAAGTTTTAGGCTTTCATAAACCATGTTTCTTGAAGCAGACAAATTATACTTTAGACAATATAATGATTTTATACAGATTCTTAAGATTTTATTTCGATTCCATAAAGCAAAACAAATCCATTCTTTGGACACTCAATCCAATTTTAGATGAAATTAATCAATTTTTCTGAAATGTATAGAATACATTTAATCATCGGTTTTAGTGTCCAATTGGGTAATAAAGCATTGAGATTTTAATTTAAAAAATCTTTATAAAAACAACGCAGAGACGAAGCTGCGCTTTGCAAACACTTGCGAGAATACGACCAAAAAGCAGCTCTACCAAATGAAAAAAGAAAAAGTAGAAAAAAGCCTCGAATATGTAAAAACTCGAGGCTTAGCAAAAACTCGAAGTAGCAAAAATCTGCGACCTAGCAATTTTGAGTCTCACGCACTAACCATTGAGCCACCGATGTTTGAAACCCCAAAAACTAGCCACCAATAACGCAGCTACATATTTCTGCGCAGCTACATATTTCTAATAAATTTCCATTGAGTTAGAAAGTTTCTGAAATCGAGATTTTATGATTGTTACGTTGTTTGAAACAAATAGCTTTTTTCGGTTCACTGTGCAATCTTATAACTATTCGAATATCAGTGCAGTTGTTATAAATAAGATGTGAAGGTGCAACAAATAAGCTGTCATGCCAATTCGATGCAGCAAATATTGTTGCTTTAAGTCGCAACAATATTTGCGACTTAGTCGCAACAAAAGTCGGAACAATATTTGCGACTTAGGTTGGAAAAAAAGAAAGTTCACACTATAACACTTTGCTTTGCGAGTGTAATAATAATTGATTGCAATGCGGGTCTGCCAAAAAGGGATGACGTAGAATATTATTAAGAAAGATTTTGAAATAAGGAGTTAGAGAAAACTTTCAGAACGCTACTGACCACAACTTAGCATTAAAAACAATGGGAGTCAAACTGTTTTGAGCAATTGCTTTTTTAGAAATCGAAACGACTAAAAAGCAAACGAAAATGTAAAGCGCAATCTGTTCTTCAGCGCCTTACAACCTGGTTGAATTTTAAATTAAGAGCCAAGAACATCTGCAATAGAGCGGCTTCTGAAGATCAGTAAAAAAATTGGACACTTAATTATTGAAAAGAGGCAGGATCAATCCACAATTTTTGCGAGGGAAACTTAAAATATTTAAATCGCGAACTTTTATGAGCAAATAAAATGATTTTTAAGCGTTTCTGAAATATTGAGAAAAATTTTACAGTACGCCTGGGCCACCCTTTGCCTTCAATCAGCTACTAGAGAAGGAAAAGACCTTTTGAGCTAACTGACCTGAATACGGCGAAGTAGCAGCCAACCCAGACTATAAATAGGGAGAGAGCCAGTTGCCAATTGAGGAAGCCAGGGTCATCAATTCCACTGGATTGGTCCCGCTGCAACACGTGATTGCTAAAACAGGTTATTAGGCTTTGCTAAATATTGAACACGGTTGTTTCACCAAACTCAAAGATAAAAAACTAAATGATTTTCTGATAAGCCTGAAAAAATTGGGAACGCTTCTTTCCATTTGAACAGAAAAAAGCGTTGGTTTGGCCACAATTCTAATTTTGTAGTTATTTACGCTTTACGGATTGGCTACTCGTGGAGTCAAACTGACGTTTACCATAATTCGCTTTGAAAACAAAAACATTTTAAAAAGAATATTCAATAAAAACAGGAAAGGCGACCGGATTCAAAGCAGGGATAAGAAGTCAGTTCTGAGATAGTATATCCCGAAAAAAGTCTTGGTTTTGTCTGGAAGCCCTGGTTTGATTCACTGCATTGAGTTTTACTGCTATGACGTAGCTGAACCGGAAGGTTATAAAAATTATGCTAGCTGATATGTTTTCATGTTTTTATACTTTTATACTCGAGCTTTATGCTAGTCGAGCGCTCACCCTCTGAACCCTCTGGTCTAGTTCCAACAAAAGTGAACAGAAGGAGCTCAATTTACCGGGTAGTCAACGAATACTTCAATAGCTTAGCAAATAATGTGTTGACAAGGTAATAGTACCTCATTACTTGGGTACCAAATGCGCTCTTTTCAATTTTACATTTTTTTAAATTTGCATAATGAAATTTTGCATGGTGAACAAATTAAATATTCTGAACACATTTGTTTTTCATACCTCACACACAGGAGCATTTCATAAATTTGGCTGACATTTTTTTTAGTTCGATCAAATTGATTTTCCGAGCTCTTCCAAAGCACTAAAATTTCTGCGCCGTAGGCAAAACTTTGAACTACAGGCCAATCAACGGCGTTTTTAGTCAATTTTTGGGAAAATTTTGATCAAAAAAGCGCGTTTTGTCGGCGCCAACTTTCCCTTAAAAACTATCAAGTATAAGCGCCCAAGAGCCTTTAGAAAATTTAAAGGTTCGTCAACCATAAACAATTATTTCACACAGAGGCGAAGTTGCATTTCGCATACACAAGTAAAAAAAATGACAGATAACGCTAATGGGAAAAACTGAATGCATAAACTTTGAGTCTACAAAATTTCTTAAGTGACGCCAGCCAATTATAACGCATTAGCAGTACCAGTCAATTTTTTTTAAAAAGCCAACTAACATGCCTCAATCTATATAGCGGATGCATTTTGATTAAAATACGAAAAAGTTCTTAAAAACATCCGACCCTGCCCAGGTTTGAACCCTCTTATTTTGTTGCGGGTTTCCTTCCCTACCTCTACGCTACAGATCCATGATATCTTGAATCTAAAGCGTTACTAGAGGCCCAGCTAAACCTAGAGGGATCGGTTTGATGTTTTTTTAATTGTTGTACTGATGCGGGATGAAGTAGGTAGTGAAAAAATTTAAGCGTTGGGCTTCACCAAAAACCTTGGTTGTTGCTCTATTAAAAAATGAGTGGAAAAACTTGTTATTTTGGATTTTTCCCAGAACAATGTTTGTCGTACAAACTTTAATGCGTAGCAGTTTATACACGGGGGCTTACAACATGTTGCCTAGATTAAGCCTTTGATATCACATTGAGTTGTTTTCGAGAAGTCAAAAGTCAAAATGAACGGACAAGATATCAAACAAAACATTGACTTTTCTGAAGGCCATATTTTTTTGTGTGTTAAACACTCAACGTGAAAACTTACACATAAGAGCTTCGGTCAACCTTTTTCTTCTTCATTGAACCTAAAATGTCAGTTTGAGCTGGTAGTTTTAAAGACAATTAGTAGAAAAACAGCTAAGAACAAACTTTCAACTTTTGAAAAACTGCAAAAAAAACATTCGACTTTTCCGAGGTCGTAAGTATTTGTGTGAAAAAAATGGGCGGAACCACATATGAAATGGAGCTTCCCACAACCCGTTCTTCAGACTGAAACCAATATCTCAGATTCGGGAGGGTAGTTTTTGAGGAAAAGACAAAACTTTCAAACAACAGTCAAAAATTCGACTTTTCCGAGGGTCATAACTCTTACTATAAAAATTTTGGGCAAAACCTCTATTGCAGGGGAGCTTCCTACAACCTTTCCTATCTACTGAAACCAAAATCTCAGATTTGGGACGGTAGTTTTTGAGAAAAGTAAAAAGTTAAAAAACGGTCACAAAATCAAAAAAATGAATTTTCTGAGGGTCATAGCTTTTTGTCTGAAAAAATTTGAGCGTAACCTCTACTGCAAGGGAGCCAACCAAAACCCGCTCTACCTAATGAAACCAAAATTTCAGATTTGGGATGTTAGTTTTTGAGCAAAGTAAAAAGCTAAAAAAACGGACCAAAATCAAAAACATGACAATTCTGAAGGCCATAATTATTTGTGTAAAAAATGGGCGAAATCATTTAAACATCGGAGCTCATTTAAACATCGGAACCCATTCTACTCATTGAAACCAAAATCTCAGATTTTGGGAGGGTACTTTTCGAGAAAAAATGAAAAAAGTTTCAAAAAACGGTCAAAAACTCGTAAAATTGACTTTTCTGAGGGTCATAGCTTTTTGTAGGAAACAATTTGAGCGTAACCGCTATAGCAAGGGAGCCAACCACAACCCGTTCTACGTAATGACACCAAAATCTCAGCTTTGCGAGGGTAGTTTTCGCGAAAAGTCAAAAAGTTTGGGAAAACAGTCACAAAATCGAGAAAATGACAATTCTGAGGGTCATAATTTTTTGTGAAAAAATTTGATGCACTCATTTAAGCAGCGGAGCTTCCCACAACCCTTTTAGTCAATGAAACCAAAACCTCAGATTTTGGGAAGTTACTTGTTGAGAAAAATAAAAAATAAATAAAAGACGGTCAAAAACTGACGAAATTGACATTTCTGAGGGTCATAGCTTGATGTTTGAAAAAAATTTGAGTGTAGCCACTATAGCAGGTGAACTAACCTTAACCTGTTCTACCTATTGAAATCAAAATCTCAGATTTGGGATGGTAGTGTTGGAGAAAAGTAAAAAGTTAAAAAAGACTGTCTCAGAATCGAAAAAAATGACAATTCTGGGGGTCATAACTTCTTGTGTAAAAATTAGGCGTATTCATTTAAGCAACGGAGCTTCCCAAAACCCATTCTACTCATTAAAACAAAAACCTTAGATTTTGGGAGGGTACTTTTCGAAAAAAAAATTGAAAAATTTTCAAAAAAACGGTCGTAAACTCGTAAAATTGACTTTTTTGAGAGTCATACATTTTTGTTAAAAAATTGGACGTATTCATTTAAGAAGCAGAGCTACCAACAACTCATTCTACTCATTGAAACCAAAATCTCAGATTTGGGAGGGTAGTTTTCGAGAAAAGCCAAAAGGTTTGAAAAAACTATCAAAAAATCGAATAATTGACTTTTCTGAGGGTCATAACTTCTTGTGTAAGAAAATTGGGCGTAATCCTTTAAGCAGCGGAGCTTGCCACAACCCATTCTAATAAGTGAAACCAAAATCTCAGATTTGGGAGGGTAGTTTTCGAGAAAAGTCAAAAGGTTTGAAAAAATGATCAAAAAATCGAATAATTGACTTTTCTGAGGGTCAGAACTTCTTGTGTAAAAAAAGTGGGCTTAATCCTTTAAGCTGCGGAGCTTGCCAAACCTATTCTAATCATTGAAACCAAAACCTCAGATTTTGGAAGGGTTATTTTTGAGAGAAATCAAAAAACGGTCATAAGTCGTAAAACTAACCTTTCTGAGGGTCATAGCTGTTTGTCTGAAAAAAAAGGAGCGTAACCGCTATAGCAGGGGAGCCAACCACAACCTGTTCTACCTTTTGAAACCAAAAATTCAGATTTGGGATAGTAGTTTTCGAGAAAAAAGAAAAATTAATAAAAAAACTGTCAAAAATTCGAATAATTGATTTTTCTGAGGGTCATAACTTGTTATGTAAAAAAATTTGGTGTGATTATTTCAGCAGCGTAGCTTCCAACCACCCATTCTACTCATTGAAACCAAAACATCCAATTTTGGAAAAAATGTTTTGAGAAAAATCGAAAAGTTTCAAAAAACGGTCAAAAAATCGAACAATTGATTTTCGGGGCATCGTAACTTTTTGAGTGAAAAAAATCAGGCATAATCGTTTGCACAGGTTAGCTTCCCACAACCCCTTCTACCTATTGAAAACAAAATCTCAGATTTGAGAGCGTAGCTTCCGAGAAAAGTCAAAAGGTTTGAAAAAACGGTCACAAAATCGGAAAAATTGACTTTTCTGAGGGTCGTAGCTTTTTGTCTGAAATGTGAGCGTATTCGCTATAGGAGTGGAGCTACCCACAACCCCTTTGTTCGATTGAAACTAAAATCTCAGATTTGGGAGGGTAGTTTCCGAGACAAGTTTCAAAAATGGTCAGCAAATCGAATAATTGACTATTTTGAGGGGCATAACTTTTCGTGTAAAAAAAATTGGGCCTAGCCGCTTATGCAGAGTAGCTTCCCACAACCTGTTCTAACCATTGAACCCAAAATCGCAGCTCAAATTTCGAGAGCTGTAGAAAGTCTGGTAAGGTAAAAAGAGGATACGGGAGTATGCAGACACACAGGTGAGTGACCGGAGTTCCCATTGGTACCCACTCTTTTGAAATTCGGTAGAGTAGTTTTTGAGAAAAACGAGAACTTTCCAAAGCGTCTCAAAAAAAACTAAAATAACCCGATCTCATATATTTTCATAATACCTGTTTTTATCAGACAGGAAGTTGCAATACAATAGTCTGCGTTAATTTCTTTAGCCTTGTCAGTATTTAATAATGTAAAAATAGTATACAGGGGGATCTACTTAACAAGCTCCACCCCTGTCAAAAAGAGGGAGATTGTTAAGTACATCAAAATGGTCAATTTTTCGACCACTCAGAATGCAAAAAAATTAGAATTCTCAATAGAAAGCTCAGTGGTAATTAACTGTATTTACTTATACGGGTGAAGATTTTTAAGTAGGTAACAAAGGGGGGGGGGGGGGGGGATTGTTCATACTTGATCCCAAAGGGAAACCC